CCACACAAAAACTCTTAGGAACATTGTGGAATGTGTCATTTGGATTTGTGAAACTGGGAGGATGCCTAAACTAGTGGATACAAAATCTGCTGTAACACAGTGTGACTGGTTTTGTAACTTTTAAATTTTGAATGTTTTTTTAAAGAAAAATCCTTTGAAAGAGAAGTATTTTTACTTTTCATAATAGGGTGCCACCAAACTATTTTAACTCATATGTACGTACAGATCAAGTTATGCATCCAGTCAGTAGATTTAAGCTTATCTCACCCAATTCTGTATGAAACTAAAGAAACTGACTTCTATATTGCTGTCTTTAATACTTCTATTGTAGGCTCAAACATACAATAGAAATTAATAGCCATTTAAACAGGACTTGCAAGTGCATGCATAGGATTATGCTACTAATATCAATTAGTTTCCATTCATAAAGTTATCCTAAACAAATTTGGAATAGGCAAAGCAAGTACAATGTAACGAAAAACTATTGAGTTAAGAAACGTAATTGTTATATCATGTACTTGCAGAAAAGGATGGTCTAATTTTTGAGTCATGCATTTCTTTATAACATTTAAAGTACTACCATCATTAAATTCAATCATACCAAAGTATTATATTGCAAAGTTTGGACTGCTAGATGTCTGAAATTCATAAAACATTCAGGCTGTTTTCTATCAAGTTATTGAGAGAGGGGGAAAAATCTAATTACATTTCATATGACATTTTTCAAATGGCTGTAAAACTTTTATTCCTGTCCATAACATCTGTTGTGTATAAGAAGAAGTTGAGCAAGGAATCAGAAAAACATTACATATAATACTGGAGGGAAGAAAAAGCAAGACACAAAGGCAGAGAAAACATTAATCACAAAAGTTGGGGTGTTAATCCTGTGCCAGACTTAAAAATTTACTGCATCTGGTTACTTTCCCTCAGGCAAGACTACTGAAAACTGGCTATATAAAAAAAAAGAATTGACCCATGAGCATTATATGGTTATTTTTAATGAAGAAACAAGTGGCTTTTATGTGTGTGTATATGTATAACATACTATAATATTTAAATCAGCTGCATTGCTTATCTGAAATGATGAAACCAAAAAGCCTCAATTTAAGCAGTTTACTTAAATCAGCAAACAAGCTTATGGAGAAAAAAAACCACCTAATGTTTTGAAGCTGGTTTATTTGAAGACTGTCAGCTTTATCACTTTGTGATTTCTATAGAATGTGTGTGTATGGATAAGTAGCAACTTCTCGATTTGATTGCTTCTGGTGAAAAAAAAAGACTGAAAAAATGATAATAACAAAAACTTGTTTATAACAGTTTATAAATCAAATGTATGATCATGCAATTATGGTCATTTTCTAGTTGATTGTTGATTTCCAAAGCTTTATTTTTTGTTGGATAAAAAAGTAAACATTATACTTTTCAAAAAATCTTACTATTCTCATAAATTGTTATCATGTATCATAAAAGCATATCATTGCAATGAATGGTTTTTTTTTTTTTGAGTATCTTAATAGTTTCCTTCCTGAGGGTAAAAACATAGGTTTAATTGTTACAATCACTTATCACATTCCACATTAATTTGGCATTTAAATACTTATGAACTGAAATAAATGATACTTGTTCATGAAACAATTGATTCATATATCTGGATCTGATAAATAATTAACAGGATTGTAATTTTGGCTTCCAGTCTCACTATTACTGTCCAGGAATTTCACAAAGAAACATCTTACAATATAGGACTTAAGATCCATGCAGAGAAGGATGATAATTATTTTTAATTATATTTAATCACAATTTCAAACCTAAAGATATCACCAAATTGCAATTCTTTTTAGAGAATTGAGTTAAGGCACATTAAGACTTTGAACCCTAGTCTCTTCACACTTAGTTGAAATTAAAAAGAATGACACTATTAGCTTCATTAATTAATGTAGTGTCAGACTATATTTATGTATACAGTGAATTCTGGAGTTAAAGTAGCCTGTAGGCTTTGTGGGAATATGAGCTAATTTTACTTAAATGTAAAGCTACATTGATGGAATCTTCAAGTTCAAAAGAACAATTCTTCCCTCCCTGGCCGTCTCTTATACAGTTATTCCCTAGTTACTTGGACTCACTCTCTTCTGAGTCTATTGCCCTGCCCACTTTCTAGCTAAGGGCTAAGCTGTCTCATACCTGACCTTTCCCTTAGCAACATCTTTTTCCGAGTCTCCACTTTCCCATACACCATTACATACGCAGCCTTTTTAAACGGAGTCCCACAGTGCTCAAATCTTAGCTGTTGTCAGAAATATCCTTCTGAAATCTGGCACCCTTCATAGTCTCATGCCAGCCCAATATTCTGAGAGTTGCAGTCCTAACACAGTTGGAATAACCCTGTTGGAAAATATTGATCTATACAGATTTTCTAGATTTCTGTATAATGCCCTACAATGAATAAATGTGCTGCATTTGTCATGATCTACTGTATTTATACTACAAACCCTGTTTCTTCTATTTGTAAAGTCTTGATTTTTTTTTTTGCTAGTGGTGTTGTTATTTCTATATTTTCCAGCATTTCTACCTTATCTGGCAAACCATGGATTGTTCTCGTGTCTCATTTTGATGACTTAATAATTTAATTGCTTGTATTTGTCAGCCAAATTTTAACAATCTTAGAAATATAGCCATAAATATGCTTTTATACTGAGACGTGTCTTCAATAGCATGCCTTCTGGTTTTATTGCTAAATATGTACAGAGAGTTTAAAGACCTCAAATCAACACTAAATTGTTAGCTAGCTGTCAATGCTGTAACATTGGATGTTCCTGCTCTGACAACTGATAGAAATTGTAGCCATTTTTACTTTGCTTTTAACATGCTTTTTCTTCTGTTTAGAAATTAGATATTGAAGGACGATGGGGTGAATGCTTGAGCTCAGCTAGCCATAATAACGATGCAGCTCCATGGGAAACTCAAGGACACAAACTGATAACATTTTGGCGGGCTGAGGAGCTGAGAAGAGAGCCCGCGCTCCTGGCTAATTGGAGAATGTGATTTATGATTGCTTTGTGGGGGTGGGACTTGCATTCTGTTACTTTGAATCTGGGGGAAGGGAATCTAGTTTTGGGTTCAACTATGTAGTGCCGATACTTTGTTTCCTGAATAAAATGTTCTTTGAAGAATTCTTGCCTTGAAGTTCTTTTGATGGGTTTCATCTATCAGAACCATGACACTGATAGGATAGCACAACTGCATCTGGCTATTGGCCTAGTAAAACAAGTTAGCATGTCCAGAAAAAAGCATTTTAGATAATGTGAAGAAAACATTATTGTCTTAGTGTTTGTATAGATTTAAGGTATTGGACAAAGATTAGCAAATTAGTCCATGTCTATCAACCATATACTTTCAATGGAAAGACTTGGTAAAGAAACAATACATTTCACAAGATTATCATAGGAAGGAACTGGAGGAAAGAGTGCTATATATGTCCCTTTTGCTCCTGGAAAATTGGGCTGAATATAAATGTAATAAATACTTTAAGAAGATTATCTATATAGATGACTATGATTGATTGATTAGTTACATGTCATCAAGTCATTTTCGGGTCTTGGCAGCCACATAGATTCTGCCCCCCCCCCCCGGATGATTTACTTCTAACTTTCTCTTTCAGGTCTTCCATTAGTGACAGTAACTGTAATAATAGTTAACATATTATAGTCATTTGCTCAGTCATCCAGATGTTTAGACTGTATTTGGTATTTTTGTCAACTTATTATTCTCATTATCTGTTTACAATCGTGTGAAGTCACAGCTGCAAATTCTTTAGCTGGTATTAGTTTTCATATGCATCAAGTTCTTTACAAGAACCTTGGATGTTATAATGCATTGGCATAGTATATATGTAGCCAAGATGCAATTGACAAGATGGAAATTTTGTCTAATATTCTGCCATCCAATGGCATCCAATGTGCTGATATCCAATGGTACTACCACAGTCACTTCATGCCATATTCTTTCAATTTTGAATTTTTATTATGATGATTGGCCACACAGTCAGCCAGACATTTAGATTGGATTTTGCATATGTACCAACTTATTGCATTCTTCCTAAGGGCCTAAGATAGGCAGATGTTGATGTTTCGTGGTATTAAAGGCATCATCATAGTATGTAAGCTGTTCCAAGTAAATCTGTCTTTTGCAATTGATGATGGTGATTTTGTCAGTGTTGATAGTGTTCAATGGTGCTCTACTTATTTTGGAATTGCACTCAAGGTGCCTATTACTATTGGTACTACCTTTGCTTTCTTTTGCCAAAGACATTCTATTTCTGTTTGGAGATCTTTGTATTTTATCTCTTCCAGTTCTTTTTCTTCTGTTCTGTTGTCTGCAGACTTTTTTGTCTTTCCTATAGACAATTGTTAAGTCTGTGGCAGATGTCAATTTACATTTCCAGCATTTGGAAGAAACATATAGACCCATTTTAGTCATATGTGGTGGGAGTGCCCACGAGCCCGTGATTTTTGGAATAAGGTTAAAAAATGGCTGGAAGAAATATTAATGCTAGAGTTAAAACCAGAACTTTTTTTACTAGGCATAACCATGCAGAAATACGACAAAGGGGTATTCTATTTGATGTTGCACATTTTCACGGCTGCTAGATTGGTATATGCTCAAAACTGGAGGAATAAAAGAATTCCAACAGAAGAAGAGATTTTATATAAAATTTTATCGTATGCTGAAATGGATAGGCTCACAATGGAAATGAAGGATAAGACAGAATCAGACTACTTTGAAATCTGGGACAAATTTTATTACTGGTGTGAATTAAGGAGAACTGCTCGGGTTTCAAATTAGTGTTAAGGCAGAAATATATATAACTGTATATATAACTGTATTGTATAGAAGAATAAGTTTATATAGAGATTAAGAATGATGTATTAAGTATAATGTATTAAGAGGAACAAATTGTTAGGAGTATTTATTCTGGAATGTCACGTTATGTCCATTTTTGTTTTAACTATTAAATAAAAAACTTTTTAAAAAAAGTCTGTGGCAGATGCCTATCTATTTTTATTCTAAAGTCCAAGAGCACTTTAGCTTCTTCATTTTCTATAACTTTCCCTATTTTGTAATCCCATCAGTTAAACATCTTCCAATGCATCATTGTTTGTCATACTGTTGTTTATAGTCAGTCTGTTTAGTCTTCTTGCAGCAAGTTGCCAAGTAGACCACCTTTTCTTCAATTTTTGGCAAAAGCGACACTTGCTGTCTGTTGCCATCTTCTCTATTCTGACTTTGTATGCATTTGTTTTTAAGGCTTGGTCTTGCCCATCCAGAATTAGCCCCTCTGTCTGTTTCTTCAACTTCCCAACTCTTCGCCACTGCTAGGTCTTGGCATTATCTTCCTCGCCTGCTATTTTATTGATCATGCAATAGTTTGTGTTCTCATGTCTCTTTTCTATGTTTCATTTCATCTTTCTTGTAGGACAGTTTGGTCTTTCAAATACTAAGTAAACCTTCCTGGTATGGTAGCTTCAGTGAAACCTCTTCACTGTCCTTCAGATATTCTTCCAATGCCCTTTTTTCTTCTGCAACCACTTGATATACTTGCAACATTCCATGCAATTCCCATGCAATTCTTGGTAACAACAGTCTGTAACATTTTTGCATGAAGGGCATGATTCATTGTCATTATTTTTCTGGTCTTCATATCCATAGCTTTTAGTTCTGATTAAGTCTAGTCCACTATTCCAGCTATATATCTAATGACTGGAATTGCCCAAGTATTAATTGCCTTGATGGTAATTCTTCCACTGAGTTTGAACTTTAATATCTTCTTCATTCTCTTGATGTATTCACTTCTAACCTATTTCTTGACTTCATTGTGCTTGATGTCATCAGCCTGAAGGATGCCCAGGTATTTGTAGTAATTGTCCTCATACAGACTTTTGATATTTCCACAGGGCATCTTGATTCCTTCAGTTTTCACTATTTCTCACCATTTGATGGTGAGGGTGGAACATTTGTCTTATTATTATTTCACTCAAGCACTTTTATTGGTAGTGGTCAACACAGTAAAAATGTTGGCAGTTTTAAATAAATTTAAAATGAAAATTGACAGTTCAGTACTACATCTACTAAAAGTAAAAAAAAAAAAAAAAAAACCCTTTTAGCCCATCTAAACAGACAGAGATAGAATGCCACTTGTGTTTTCCTAACTCACACAAAATAAGTAAAAATGTAGAAATAGTTTCTGGTATGTTAGGAGTATGGCCATGAAAGCTAAGGAAAATTCCTTAAGATAGCACCCCTACCCTGTGAGGTGGACTCGGCTAAAAGAGTGTGACTGGCCTAAAGTTACCCAGTCAGTTTTTATATCTAAAGTGAGACTAGAACTCAAAATCTTAGGTTACTTTAGGTGTAAAGCCCTTAATATCTGGGATTTGATTTACTTGTTATATTATTTTGCGGAGTAAAACTGCACCCAGATAGAGTACCACATAGTAAATAACCAGTGTGAAGATATAAAACTGAGAGTCAGTTTGAATAATATTTTTCTTAGAAGTCAAACAGATAAAAGCTAATGTGGGAGTTGTAGAGCAGGTGTGTTTTTCAAGTAAAACATAAACATTGTAGAAAAGTTTAATCCAGTTTACATCAAGTAATGTCATCTGATTCAGTAGGTTGTTAAAATAAATAAGCAAAAATAAATAAGCAAAAATAAGCTTTATCATGTATTTTACTTTGAACAGGAAATATTCCTGCATTCTAAAAATTTAAATTATTTAATTTTTAATTTAGGATATGTTCATGGACTATTAGGATTCAGTAGGAGCCACATACATTTAGATAGATAGATAGATAGATAGATAGATAGATAGATAGATAGATAGATAGATAGATAGAAAGATAGATAGATAGATTCATCATCATCACTGTCATCATCATCATCTGTCTGCTTTAATGTATTTCTGATCTCAAAGCACAGTTATGAAAGATCCATATGCATTCAGAGAAAAAATAAAATAATCTAATTTCATTATATTCAAAGCAAGAGAACTACCTTAGATATAGGCAATTGCTCAAAGAGATTTACTTTAGCCCTCCAAGATTCAGAACAATGTAAAATTTTGCACAATAGCAGGACATGGTCCAGTGGTAAAGCAGCTATCTTGCAAACAAAGCCTCTGTCATTTCTAATTAAAAGATCCAATAGGAGAATGTAAGCAGTTGCTGTTAGTTAGTAGGCTGTAATGACAATAGTCTGAACTTGTACAGACAATTTCCTAGATACCCTTTACTAAAAGGTATTCCTAGAAAAAAAGTAATACTTGAATCTCTTTCAAAGCCACAGATAGTACTTATTCTGTTTCAGACGTTGTCATACATTGAGGCATTCTTTACATGAAAGGATGAAATGATACTCATTCAAAGCAATTATAAAAATAAAAAGCAAACATAAAAATCAGCTCTTGTTACTTTTTTGCCTGACAGTGAGTTATGTAATCACAAGAGGGACATCATCACATCCATTCTATATGCAAATTTATTTGCTGTTGGGCTAAAACCTTTTGGAAATGAGATTTTATCAACAGTACATGGGCTAAAAAGGAACAAGAGCCCCAAATCTTTAAGAAAATATGAATACAAAACATTTTTCTTCTTCATCAAATGCTCATGTTTGTATATACTTGGCATTCAAATGTAGAGCCACAAATATTGAGAAAAATATATAAGAAAGCACACAAATTTATCAACATTCAAAATATAGTGGTTAGCTGGAAAAATGCAAACTACTCAATATTATTCTTTAGCAAAAGTTTTCAAATGCTACCAGGCTTTTTTTTTTTTTTTTTACTTTTAAGTTCTGTGTTTAATTGTTATTTTTCAAACAAAACATCTTTGGTGAAGAGAAGGATCCATGACAAAGCAGGTAGGGGGGGGAAGGATTTGAAAGTTAGATGAGATTTTTTTTTCCTATGGCATTACTTGTTTGACTCCTAGAATTTATTTTAATAATCCACAGACTATATCAAACACCTATTCCATCTGTAACAATGCATTCAGAGCTTTATGAGAGTTTAAACATGCAAAAGAGTGGGTTTTCCTGAGATTATAAATATTATTTAAATTCCTACATATACAGTAGAACATGTCTGAATTCCAAGCAAACTCTGTGATGGCATAGAGCTGTCATAAAATTCTGCAATTGGATGATGATTTATAATTAAATTTTCTCAGAAGATACTTTCTTTAAAGATCAAAAGTCTAGGTATTAGCCCAAGTAACACTCTAGTTTTATATTTCACACAAAGGAAAACATTTCTTAATCTCTGTGGCAGTGAAAAACCATCATAGACAAAGATTTCCAGTTATAGGATTTACATGCCTTTTAACTAAGTTTCAGTTGAGGGACTAGAGAAGAATTCTTTTTTGCAAACTTTGGATATTAGCAGTGCATTCTTATACATGCACAGACATATACAATTTAGTATATTTTGAAACTCTCTGCAAAGGCCAAATAGCCACAAGAAAAAAATGAAAAATGAAGATATGTGCAAATGAATTTTGCCCTGTGCACTGAGTAGCATGTACATCTTTCTTTGACAGTAGGATCTTTAACAAGGCAGAGTTAAAGGAATCCCAAAAAGAGTTTATATGTATGTAAACTTTGGAAAAAATTAAAAGCAACCTGGACTATCTTCTTTCTAGTCTGATGAACTGGGTTTGCTTATACACATTTAAAAGAAATAGGGTTTTTCATGGAACTAGAGAAGCAGTAACAAATGTCAGATTGGTGTCCTTTTTACAAGTGACTCTTTAATAGTTAGATGCTGTGTTTTACCAGGTGCTATTACTCACATATTAGGAAAGGAACAACTATTGGGAGCAGTTGTGATACAACTATATCAAATTCAGACAATGCAGTTTTATCAACTGTAGTCAATAGGAAGTTAAACTGTCAATTAATTCATAGATCCAAGATACGGTTGAATCAGTAGGATTGACTCAAAATACACAGTATTGGCTTATACAAAAAAGAGAAAGAAAACTAAAAATTCTAGTAGGGTAATGTAGAATCATCCCATTCCAGCTGATCTTGCCTGGTTGTATTTTGTTGGTCTCCTTTATTCCCAATGGCTTCTTCCTCTTCTTCCTCTTCAGTCTCATCTGACTCTGTACTGGTTGTATCATCTTCATCTTCAATTTCTTCCTCATCACTTTCTTCTTCTCCACAAGGTTCTTCATATTTCTATGTATGATAAGGAAACATAAAGTGGTGCTGCTGATAAGAAGAAAAAAAAACTTTCTGAAGTTTATTTGTAAATCTTTAAATGAGAATGTGTGTTTGATATGTGTGTAGATGTACCAAAACGAAAAAGAAATTAGCCTTCAAATGTATGGTCATATTTGGCAGAGCTAACTACCAGGTGAGAAAATTATAGAGTAACAAATTTACAGAGAGATAAATGAAAGTGACCTCCCTGAGTAAAACTCAGAAAGCTAAAGGATTAAACAAAATACCAAAAACAGTTATATCATATGACTTGACATCTTTTCTATAAGATCATATTAAATAATTAATCAGGTAAAACAATACAACTTGAATGTCATCCATCTATTCTTGATTAAGCAAGCACTTCTACTCATTTTTTTTCCAGTCTAGCTTTGATACAAAGATATTCATCAATAATACATTATTAGATTCAGCATGAGAAAAAAGGCCAAGCTACAAGTACAAAAAAAATGTAATATGACCTTTCTGAATGACTTAACAAGGGCACTTTCCTTAAAATTTATGCAAAGTAATTTTCATAACACAAATATATTATTGATACTAATAGTATTTACATCCTTCTAGGTTAACCAAATGTACTTCAATGAAATATGATATAGTAATTCCATGAAACATAGAATCCTGAACATCCTATCTGTTGAGTCCGTGGCGGGAAGCAGACACGAGAAGCAGTTGAAGTTCTCAGTTTTCTTTATTCTGCGTTCAGCTTACAAGTAGATGGCTTCAGCAGCTCCCAAAACCTCCCAACTTCTTATATAGACATTTCCCGGGTAAATGCGATACTTTTCCCGCGCCAGCACCCGCGCATGCGCACGGCGCTGGCGACAGCCTGTCTGGTCCCGGGCAGCTTTGCACCTGCCAGGGACTGCCTGCAAACGCCCGAGCCATTTGCAAGGCTCGGGACATAACACCCCTTTCCCCCGGGCTAAAACTACTACCAACATATAATCATTTATTTTATGCAGTGTTCTGCTTCTCAGTGCTCCTATCGTTACCTGGCTTTTGTTTAGCCAGCAATGTTATGTAATCCTCTAAGTATTTAGGAGACTTCTTTGCTCTCTGTGACCTTCTCAGCTCTGGGTTACTAGCATGAGTTCCCTGACTGGAGGGAGATGTGAGCCTGTTCTCCTTATTTTGCCTTGGTGCCTTCCAAGGACTGTGCCCCCATGCCTGGCCTGCTTGCTTGCCCACCGGGCTCGTCAGGCCAGGGCTTCTGTCACTTTGTGACCTGGTTGACCTGCCTAGCTGTAGACCCTCGGGCCCCTTGAAGTGATAGCCACTGCTGGGCATCTCTGTTGAACCTCCTAGGTCCATCCAAGACCTGTCAGGAGGCTGTCCATTCCCTGAACCCCGTTCTGTGTCCGGGCTTGTGTGGGTTTCTGTACTTTCCTAAAACTCAGTTACTCCCTGATTTGGGCTAGAGGTGTTGTAGTCGGGACTTGGTTCCTCGACCACCTCCCTGTATGTTTGACCCCCTGTAGGATTTGGGGTAAGGTCAGGCCAACCTTGGGGATTGTGTGCCAGCTCTCTTGCGGGGAATGATTTGTTGGGATGCCCCCGGGTATCCTCCGTGACTGGAGTGCTGTGTGATGTGTGTGGAAAGTGAGTATGCCCCCGGGGTGACTCCCTGGCTGGAGTAGGCGTGGATGCCTGGTAATTAGGTAGGCTCATAGAATTCTTGTTCGGAGCTCTCGCGGAACCCTGGGATGGGCCGTTTGTAGCTCCATCAGTGGAGATGGGCAGCAGCTCGTGCCCTTCCCTTTGCTCCAAAGGGTCCCCCTCCCCCCTGGAAAAGACCCAGGAGTCTCATCTGAAAAGTCCCGCTGAGGGCGGAGTTGGTCGATGTGCCGACGCAGGACACGACCGTTTCCAGGGCTACCTCGTAGGAGAGAGGACCTGTGACCCTGGAAATAGAAGCGGGGACCCATGTATGACCAGGCCCGTAATTGCGAGCCCAAACCAGGGCACCCACAAGTAGTTGTCTAGGTGCCCTAGGATGTGAGGTAGATGAAGGCAATCTGTCCGGATGCAACCGGTCAAGTTTAGTAGTAAGTTGACGCCCCCAACGAAGTTCAGCTGGGCTTCTCCCTGTAGAAGTGGACGGTGTGGTACGATAAGAAAGGAGAAAGTCAGCCAACCTGTGATGCCAGTCCCCGTAGGTGAGTCTTTTCAATGTGTCCTTTGTGATGCGCACCATATGTTCAGCCATACCGTTGGTGGACGGGTGGAAGGGTGCAGACGTGGCATGACGAATCATGTTTGCCTGTAAAAAAGCTTGGAATTCGGAGGAAGTGAATTGAGGGCCGTTGTCGGACACAATGACATCTGGCAGCCCGTGTGCAGCAAAAATCCCCCTCAGTACCTGAATAGTCTTTGCAGTGGTGGTGGATGAGACAGGCACAACCTCAAGCCATTTTGAATGGCTGTCAACAAGGACCAAGAAGAACTGGCCCTGAAAGGGCCCAGCGTAGTCCATGTGCACCCTAGACCATGGGGACTGTGTTTCCTCCCATCTATGCATGGGAGCTTGGGGCATCTCTGGGAGAGATCGTTGGCACAGGTGGCATGCATGCACCTTAGCCTCAATATCTTTATCTAAACCAGGCCACCACAAGTGGCTGCGCGCAAGAGCCTTCATACGAACAATGCCAGGATGACCCTCGTGGAGTGATTCTAAGACCCTAGTCCTCATTGAGGTGGGAATGACAACTCTGTTTCCCCAAAGCAGACAACCCTGAGAAAGGGACAGCTCGTTCCTTTTGGACCAGACACTCTGAAACTCAGGACTAGGGCAGTGCTCAGGCCAACCAGACAAAACCCAGGAACGGACACGTGAAAGTGTGTGATCTGTACCTGTTTCAGCGGCAACATCCCTGGCACAAAGAGGGAGCTCGGGCAAGGCTTGGATTGATAGAATGTTGACAGCTGGCGCAGGGTCAGCTTCTCCTACTGGCAGAGGCAATCTACTGAGGCCATCAGCATGGCCCATTTCTTTCCCAGGCTTGTGGAGTAAGGAAAAATCATATGCAGACAAAAAGATAGACCACCTAAGCATTCTAGGGGAAATGATTTGGGGAGTCTGCTTACGTGTGGTAAACAGTCCCAGCAGAGGCTTATGGTCAGTGAAGACCGTGAAGTGCCTGCCATATAGAAAGTCATGGATTTTTTTAATTCCAGCAACAACAGCCAGAGCCTCCCTGTCTATCTGAGCGTAGTTGCGCTCAGCAGAAGACAATGTTCTGGAGTAATATGCAACAGGAACCTGAGTTCCATCAGACCTGAGGTGGCTCAGGACAGCTCCAACCCCGTAAGGGGACGCATCACAAGCGATGCACACAGGAAGGGACTCATTGAAATGTGCAAGTACACTGTTAGAAGTGAGCAAAGCCTTGACTTTGTTAAAACAACCCTCATGCGTTTGTGACCACTGCCACACTGCTTGTTTGTCTAGTAGCCTGTGAAGAGGCTCAGCTACACTAGCTTTTTGTGGAAGAAAAGAATTGTAGAAATTCAGGAGGCCCAGGAAGGCCTGAAGTTCGGCCTTGGACTTTGGCCTAGGTGCTTCTAAAATAGCAATCAGTTTGGATTCAGCAGGGTGAATCCCAGCAGCATCAATTTTGAACCCCAGAAATTCAGTAGAAGGCACCCCAATCATGCATTTGTCTTTTTTGAGCTTGAGGCCTGATTTCCTGAATCTTAACAGAACAGCTCTTAGCCTTTCAGCTAGAAGGTGTGTGGAGTCTCCTGCAATTAAGACATCATCAAAGTAGGGGCAAACCCCCGGTATGCCCCGCAGTGTGTTTTCCATTACGCTTTGGAAAATCCCAGGAGCGACATTCACTCCAAACTGCAGCCTTTTTACCTTAAAGGCCCCCCTGTGGGTCACAATAGTCTGAGCTATAGCAGCATCATCATCAACAGGCAGCTGTTGATACGCTTGAGCTAGGTCAAGCTTTGCAAAAACTCGCCCCCCCCTTGAGGGAGGCCAGAATATGACTGACCACAGGAACAGGATAGGCATGTTGCTGCAATGCCTTATTCAGAGTGCATTTGTAGTCAGCACAAATGCGAATGTCCCCATTTGCCTTTAGAGGCGTGACAATGGGGGTCTCCCAAGGACTGGAATCAACCGGTTCTAGGATTCCCTGTTGAATCAGTTTGTCTAACTCAGTGTCAATTTTACTCTTTAAAGCAAAAGGGACCCTTCTTGCTTTAATTCTAACGGGAGTGACAGTGGGGTCTAGCTTTAAGGACACAGGGGGTCCTTTGAATGTGCCTAGCTGGGGGCTGAAAACATCTGCAAATTCTTTGCAGACTTCCTGTAGGTCGAGTGTTTGTAAACTGTTGAGTCCTGTGACGTGTATCCCCAGGGCCTCAAACCAATCGAGTCCGATGAGACTCGTTCGTTCACCCCCTACTACTAATAAGTCTAGTGGACCTTCAAAACTCTTGTATTGCACGTTAAGGGTGGCCTCCCCCTTAACACACACTCTTGAATTTTGAAAATCTGTTAACACAATGTCAGAAGGCCTTAACTTGGCCTGAGTTCCACTACCAGAACAAATCTTCCTAAATGTATGCAAGGAGATAATTGAAAAGGCAGACCCTGTGTCTAGTTCCATAGATAATGGAACCCCTTGTAGCTTCACCTTGAGTGACAGCTTTTTCTTAATGGGCTTGTGTGTGCCTGTCCTAAGGATGCTTCTTCGCGAAGCGCAAAACCCTACCCTATTCTGGCTGGGGAATCTGGTACCTTTTAGGCGCAGTTCTTCCTGAGGTTGTACCTTTCGTCGGCCGAGACACACAGCTGCAATGTGTCCTTGTTTGCCGCATGCCCGGCAGGTAGCGGAGCGGAACTTGCAGTCGGTTCTCCGGTGGCGACCTCCACAGCCGATGCACTTGAGCAGAGCTGAAGAGCTTCCCTTCTGTTTTTCTTCCGTCGTGGGGTGGAGACGGTCGACTTCCTCGTCCGGATCCTCCTCGGAGTTCCTTTGGGCGTCTTCCTGGTGCACGGATGCAAACTCTGGACTGTTTCTGATCGGCCGCATGTTCTTGATAGCGCCGCCTGCTGCTTCTTCTGCGGTGACTTCCCTTAAGGCATCTTGGTAGGACAATTCTTCTTTAGCGAAAAGTCTCTGTTGTAGATCTCGATGCCTTAACCCGCACACGAATCGGTCCCTCAGTCGTTCTTCGAGGTCTTTGAACTCGCAGTGCTTGGCAGCCTTCCGTAATGCGGCGATGAATTCTTTGGCCGACTCACCGGGCCGTTGATCCCTCTGCTCGAAGGTGTGGCGCCATGCGATGACGGACATCTTGGGGTGGAAGTTCTCCTTCAGTAGCTTCTTCAGATCTGCGTAGCTTACAGACTCTACTGGAACAGGTGCTGCAAGGTTTTCTGCGATGTCGAAGGCGTCTTGGCTGCAAACACAAAGCAGGGTGGCAGCCTTCAAGCTCTCTTCCCTCACTTGGTTTGCCTTGAAGTAGTTCTCCACCCTGGCTACGTATGACTCCCACCGCTCTGGATGTGAGACGTCGAATTCCGAAAGCCTTCCAATTTTTGCCATCTTCAGGAGACGGGTCTATCAGCCAGCCTACCCCCGAATGCGCACTGGATTGGCGGGTAGCTGCCGAGTCGACGCCGTTCCGCCGCTCAGGACTCACTTGGGTAAGCTTACACTTCTTCCTTTCCAGGCGGTGTAAGGCAATCCCACCTTTGTTGCCAGTATTGAGTCCGTGGCGGGAAGCAGACACGAGAAGTAGTTGAAGTTCTCAGTTTTCTTTATTCTGCGTTCAGCTTACAAGTAGATGGCTTCAGCAGCTCCCAAAACTTCCCAACTTCTTATATAGACATTTCCTGGGTAAATGCGATACTTTTCCCGCGCCAGCACCCGCGCATGCGCACGGCGCTGGCGACAGCCTGTCTGGTCCCGGGCAGCTTTGCACCTGCCCGGGACTGCCTGCAAACGCCCGAGCCGTTTGCAAGGCTCGGGACATAACACTATCCATGTGTATCTGGGGATATCTTTAGATATACTAGAGACCTTTTTCAGATCTACTACACATACTAACATCAAAAATAAGGCCAATCTAAAAGTAGAAAGGATGCTTTTCTTTTCACCCACTATGTGTAATAATGTCAGGGGGCTGGCAGAAGATGATTTTTGAAAAAAGACTCTTGCTCATAAATGAAAAATAGAAGTGATAGCAAGAATATAGGATAATAGGGTTTTTCTACTTACTTCCATGGGATTGATTGTGATAGTCAGAGCTGAATCATCCCAGTCCATTTCATTTTCTTTATTAGTTTCATGTTCCTTTGAAGTATGATGGCAAGTTGAATGAATTCTGTATACCCCCAGAGCTATGATGAAGACTAAAACACTGACACAGATTACAATGATGATGGTAGCCATACTTGGAAGTACTGAAATGAAATAAAATGGGGCAATTTAACATATTCTTCCAATGCCACTTAGGTATATTTAGTGTTTTTAGTGTTTTCTTAATTAATAAAGCTATTATGCTTATTGTTATACTTATAGCAATTTTCAGCATTCATAATGATACCTAAATGTAACTGCAGTTACATTTGTTTTGTTGTTGAACTTAAAAGAAACCATTACAAAATGATAACAATACAATTCTTAAAAAAATAAAATAAAACAATAGCAATTTCATCCATAGGTGATTATCACATTTAAACTGTCTTTTGTGTATAGAATCTCTTACTTTTATTATATAATGCCAGCTCTTGTATTCCAGAAACTACTCACATAGTCAATGAATATGTAAATGAGGAATATGTCTTCCATTAGAATCATATACACAATATCATCATTAGTAAGGAGGGGCCCTTAATGCACAAAACTATTCATGCAAAAACATCCTCCTTGCACATTCACTTTGTATGCATGGATACTAGGAGATGCAACACATGTAAAATTTAGGGAAGAGTTTATTTGGTGCCACCATGGTCTTTCTTCAGGCCGAGCTTACTGAGCAAAGAAAAAGGAAGAGGTAAGAAGAAGCTGGCAAGAGAGTTTAAGGAGGCCCCACACTATATCTTCATAAGTCATGTGTTTGCACTCGGTTAACCCAAAGGTTTGAGAAAGGAAGAAATATGAATAAAAACCCTCTAATGATGCTTTAAGAAATAAAAGCAACAATGAATGGGCATCAGTTTATGATTTCCACCTGCAATGCCAATGGCAAGTTTGTTTTCCTGGCATATATTTGCCACTAATGCAAGGACATAATAACATTGAAGAAAAGTCTAGGGACAGGAGCAGCAAATAGCGGCATTTAAGCTGATAAGAAAATACAGTGATTTATCAGAAGAAAGAAAGCAGATGTCACAACAGAAACTGATAGTGGGAACAACTCTATATATGGATGGAAAAACAGAGGAGCAAGTCAGTGAATAGAAAGATGCCAAAGATATTCTGTACCACTGGAAGAGTAAAACTTAGGGAGGAAAAAAAAAGATACTTCAGAATTAGAGACTAGAATGCTCCAGTCCTGAATGGCAGAGAGAATTCAGCTGTTAAGACAAAGAAAAAGAATTGGGGGAATTGGTTATTCATTAATATGAAGAACGGCAACAAGCATATGCTGATCAGACTCAATGGCTTGTAAACTCTCCTTGTGCCACTAGCATAGATCAGGAATATAACAGAACAGCTTTCATCTCTAATTAAGTCTAGCAAAAAATAATCCTTCCTGCTAGGGAACATGTTGACATATAATACTTCAAGAAGCAGCTATAAGTACACAGATTTTGCCACAATTTTGAAAATCTTGGAAGAAAGCTTAAGGACCTGAAGGTATAAGCATTGTTCTAATGGAATAGGACAGGAAAAGGAAAGAAACATACTGCAATTACTAGCTACACAAATGGTGTTGATGGGAAATGTAGTGTTTCTTGGATCATAAATTAAGTTGTGTTGATGATAAACTGTTTATAACAGAAGGGATATATCTCACAAGATGTGTTTAGACAAAGAATGGTCTGTTTGATTGGGACTGAATTCCTCAGCAATGCAGGGAGGACAGTCTGGTTGGGCTGTAATATGAACGATATGAAGATTCTAAACAGGATTGCTCCAAATGACCTCTCCCTCTCTCTGTCAAGTGACAATTCATTATGATATTGGTGAAACTGGAACACTGAATGTGACCAGATGCATATGTAAGCTCAAATATGTGCTTACATCAAGATCATATTGATGATGAAATGTCAGTACTTTTTCACACTTAGAGCATTCATGGAATGTAGCACTTTTTACAGTGATTTGGACCTTGGTAGGGAAGGATGGGCCAAAAGAATCATTAATGGGTTGCTATGTGCATAAAATAATGCATGTGTGCTTTGAATTGGAAGTTGGATGCATAAATCTGATCAGCTGATAGAGGTGACATCTGGAAATGTTATCCAGGAGATTTTTGAGCCTGTAGATCTCAATGAAGAAACAGGATTCTTGGGCTTGGTCCCTATTCTGCCTGCCTAGTAAAAGCTGCTTTTCCTCAGCTTTTTAATATTTTTATTAATAATTTAGATAAAGAGATGAAAGAAGTGCATATTAAATTTACCAATGAAACAAACTTATCTTCTGCCTCCAGATAGTCTTTCACCAGTATCATAGTTTCTGTAATTAGCCTTGTCAAACCAGCCAATCTTAAAATCCAAACAATCAAATCTTATATAGTTCTTATCTTTATATATGGTTTTTACAATCCAATGTGTTTCCAATTGTCAAAGCACCACTAGAAGCAGTATTTTGTAACAGTTCTTCTCTTCAGGGGCCTTACAATTGTCATCCAGCCAAAATTTCGGTCCAGAATGTTTAACCGCTTAAGAGCTTTCCAGTAAACTCCCCCCTAGAAGGCTAGCCAAAAGTCAAGGTTTTTCTTTCTCTGAAAACAATTCTTGAGCTTAGAAATCACAGCTCAGTAAGTATTTATAATCCCAGTAGGTCAACAGTTTTTAAAACAAATGTAGTTCTCACTCTATAGTAGATAGCCCAGTGTATTTTCTTACCTTTGTTCCCAGCTGGTCTCTATTTAGGTAGAAATCACTGAGGTTCAAAGGAACAGGTTGTTTTTTATTTCTGGGCATCTTGCCAATTTCTGAGTCAATGCAACTGTAGTTTTATGCTCTAATCCTCCACTAGATGTCAGTAGCTATTCATTTTCCAACTTTTAAGATGAAGAATGATTTTTTTATAATTTCATCAATACTCTTTCAGATGTGAAATCTTAATGATTTTCATAATTTTCAGATTTATTCAGACTATAGTATTACTAATTTCATTTCAATATATTTCTGTCCCCCATAAAAATTAAATTGCTAGTTCCATCTCTGGAAGGGTAAGGGTGGGATCCCCTGCCTTCTCACTTTCGGAGGATTTTTTGCTTCTTGGGGATCTTTTCCAGGAAATCAGTTACAAGATAGAAAAAATCAATATTCTCATCCGGTTCCAAGCATGCTGTTCACAGTTGTTCTAGTTAGTGCTTTTGGACTTCAGCTGCTGGTAGCTTGGGCTAGTCACTGATGTGCAGCAAGCTTCTCTCCTGTTGGGTTTGAGGACTTCCCCTGGATCAAATGGATCGACCGCAGTCTTTCGGTGATCCACAGGGGGCCCTCCTTCTTCGTTGCCTCTCAGGGGCGGCTTAGACCCATTTAGGGTCCCCTGGCAGGGCAAAACCAGGGGTGCAGAGCTTCACATTCCCTCAGCCATGTGCTACTGTGCAAAACCGGAAGACTCTATGCTATTCAAAATGTTATCAATAACATGAATGAAAAGTTTGAAGGGATGATTTTCAAATTTACAGGTTACACAAAATTAAAGCTAACAATCAGAAAGAGATGATTTAAAAGATTTAGACAGGCTTGAACACTGGAACAAAATGAATTAAATGGTGTTTAATATGGAAAAATATAAACTCCTGAATCAGAAGAATAATATGAAAGGCACAAGTATAGGTGCAAGAAAGAGATCTGGCTTGGTAGTAATTCATATGAAAAGAATCTGGGTGTTCTACTGGTTCAGAGGCTGCATATGAGCAAATAATGTGATGCAGCTGAGAAAAAAAGCAAATGCTATTTTGGGATGTATTAAAACTAGCCGAGAGTCCAAGGGAGGGGAAAATTGGCCAGCTATTCTACTATATTCTCCCTTGTTTAGAGCCCACTGGAAAAATATGTTTAGTTCTGGGTATTGCAGTCTAAAAAAAGATTAAAAGGATATTTATTTTAGTCTGGGCTATCTGATTTTAGATTTTTAGCTGTTTTTATATTTTTTCTCATTTCACTGGAGATGAGCAGCCAATAAATTGCTAAGAGAAAAGAACAACAGCAAGGAAATATGCACCATTGTGGGGGGATTGGTAAACTTTAATTTTATGAGAAATGATTAAGGAAACAGGTGCTGCATGGTTAGCTTGCATAGCCTTAAAGGAAGATATGATATCAATCTTCATATAAATGAGCAGGAAGGAGAAAGAAGACGTGTTTCATTTCACCAAAGATATTCAAACTATAATAGCATATAAGAAAGACTTTGGGAGAATGGGCCAAGAAATTCTGTTTAGGGAATGATCAGAAAAGAGCCTAGCCCGCAACTAGATAAGAGAGCGGGCAACTAAATTTCATTTTTGATGTGTGCCGTTGTGCCCACAGTAAAAAAATGACAATAAAAGTTATCTTATCTTATAATGGGTGGGACAAGAAGCTCAGAAGAGGCTCTCAATTTCCCAGGCTGTAAATCAGAGGACAGGAGAATTGTACTTTCAGACTGGCAAGACTGCAGTCAGTTTTACCACATTGACCAGACAGGAAACATAACCAGATGAGCTAAATCTACTTTATTGTAAGCTACATTAACAGAGTCTTGCTAGTACAATTATCCTGTCATATTAAGTTATAGGAATTCAGATTCCAATTGAATTTAGAACTTTTCTAACAATAAGGAATGGTGGATTTCCTTTCATTAGATGTACTTCTACATAAACAGAATGTAAGGTTAGGTCAATTTTTGTTCAATCCATTCTTATCTACTTAATTCATGTAATACCTGAGCCTTGAATATTGTTTGTGCTTTCTTCTGGGTGATGGACAGATTGGAGAAATTGTGGCTCTTTTATTATAAGATTTGCATACTCCATGGAATTAGAGTTGGAATTATGTAGAATATTAACCTAGAAGAAAACAAAAACTAATATTACAAATATCGAAGTATTCATAATAATACTAATCAAATTTTGCATAATAGTCAAGCGGAGAAGTTATATTCAGAAGTATTAATAGATCACAATTTGCATTTGCTCTATATGAGAGCACTTAATCTGGAGGGTGATATTCCGAATTTACCAACTAAATCAAATAATTATGAAAAAAAAGAGACTCTCATAAAGTTTCAGGGATGAAAAAGAACTATGAGATTAGTTGATCTGTTTCACAACTATATCTTGTTGCAGCAATATTCCCTAAAAACTCCCAAGTCACAAAACTCCAAAGTTTAATGATTAAGTAGAAACAACAAATGGCAGTCAGTTGTCTGTAGGTTCCATAAGACAAATCTGGAGTAAGCAGTCCAAGTGCAAGTTCATTTGTCTTTTGCTAGCATTGATCCAGGTGACTCTTCTCAAACCTTGCTAAATTTAGACACTCTACTATTAAGCTGCCTGCCAGATTATTAGGACATTCCCCATGGAATTCCACAAGCACCAGGTGGATATATAAGGTGCTTGTGGCAGTAATGAATCTATCCTGCTACAGAAGTCAGTAGTAGCTGAAAACTCCACAGAGATCTGATTGTAACAGTCAACATTTATGTTCTCCAATGTCAGATCACATGCTAGCTGTTCTCAGGTGAAAACCTGATGTAGTGTGTGGCCCTCAGTGTAAATCAGAGCTCTAATCATCTGGGACAAGCACATGATTGTCATAGCAAGTATTTAAAGACTGTTCTCAACTCTATCCCAAAGTATTAGTTTTAAAAATGTGTTTACTGCACAAAGTTCTATATTTCACACATAAGAGAACAAGAATGCTGACTATCATTTAAAAGAAACAATATTTGTGAGGGAAAATGTGTTCTTTATAAATAAAGAATAACCTCATTTCAATCTCTGGTTTAAAAATGTACTGGTGAAAAATTATTAATTAAATGACTCCTGAGAAAGTATCTGTCAGTCTTTCTAGGTAAGCCAGATAGGAAACATGAGTACTTTATTATAACAATATATTAACAGAATCTTGCAAATCTGAAAGGACACTTCCAGCCACCACTTTTAATTGCTTGATCCATTAAGGCAGTCCTTTCTAAGTATCTTTCTCTATGTGTTGGCTTCTATGTGATGGCTTCCCTGGATAATTCCCCAGATGCCTCTTTGGAGTCAGTTCAGATGAGGAAGAGCCAGTTCTAGGCATATTGAAGGGGGATGTGGAGGAACATCCAGAGGTTGTCAGAGGCTCTGAGTCAGAAGTGGTGAGGCCAAGCACTGCAGAACCATCACAAGAGCAGAGACTGGAGAGTGGCTGTCTGAGCTAGGGGCAGGAGAGGCACAGCTGCAATTGGGAAGTCCAGAGGTTTCAGAAGGACAAGACATGTAATTTCAGCTGTTCAGCAGAGATGTGGAAGAACTGCCTCTTCATCCTGATACAAGAGTGTGTAGGGTTGCAGGCACAACAAAGGTCAGTCAGGCTACTTGTGAAGTGGGAGCCTCACTCCTCTTGATGATCTGTACTGAGGAGTGGCTATTAGCTCAGCAAGTGGAATGAAACAATGCTGGGAATGTGTCCATTTTCTTGCCTTGCATTTGTCAATGTCTGTGCCTCTGACTCAGACTATGTATCTTGCACCCTGGCTCGTGCCTTGACTTCTGGACTCGCTTCACAGGTTTTGCCTGTGCCTTATGGATTTGTTTTTGCCTCATGAACTTGCCTTAGTCTTGTGGACTTGTATTGCCTTGCAGATTCATGGGTTTGTTCCTGGACTGAAATGTGAATTCTTGGGAGGTTGCGTGGTTGTTGAACTGGGGATTTCTGGGAAAAAATATTTGATGTGGAAAGCCTCAAATAAAACCTTTACCCCACCTGTGATGCATGTGTGTGAGAGCAGGATCAGGACACTCTGACTGTTAAGTTACTGAGTATTCTGCCTCATTTGCCTGATTGTTTCCTAGCCAGTATCTCTTCCATCCTTTCTCCAATATTATTCCCACATTCTATTACAGTATCTTAATTTATTGCCTGGGTTTATGTCTGCACTGGTACTTAATAACATATTGAGAAATTATCTGAAAATTATGTTATATTAATAAATATCAAACATTGCCTGTGCCTTTTATTTTCTAATATGAAAATAATTGTTAATTTTTTAAAATGCTACTTACTTCTAAATTGAATTCATTGCTGGTATAGCGCCCATTCAATTCTGAACATTTGATTCTAAACTTTCTATCAGAAAAGGAAGATGTGTCCCAATTACGATAGCGAATTTGCCGTAAAACTTTTTCATAGTTTTTCATAGTATCCACACCTGAACCAGTAAAAACAATATAAAACATATTAAATGTCAGGAAAAGGAAAAAAAAACTGTGAAAACTGTACCAGAAGTGAATACATATTATCACTAATATTAATTCAGTGAAAATATTTCTACAGGCAGTTTCACAATCATTTGCAAATAATATGAAGACTACAATTTCTATATATCTCAATAATCTAGATATATTTTGCTTTACTAAAGCAAAATATAAACTAAACATGCACTTCCTAGTGCAGTGGTGGTGAACCTATGGCACGTGTGCCAGAGGCAGCACTCAGAGACCTCTCTGTGGGTACGCGCACCATTGCCCCAGCCCCGCTTCCCCCTGAGGCTGCCTCCTCACCAGCAGCCCCCCTGGAGGAAAGTTGCCCATGGGTGCGGCCCACGCAGAGCAGCACAGCCAAGGACATGTTGTCCAGGCAGCAGGGACAAGACTCCACCCTCGCGCCCCATTGCACACAGATGATGCTGCAGGTTGTGGGTGGAGGGTGTGGCTGCCGTGATGCCGCAGGGCTGCCTGGGCGATTTGCTGCGACGGGCCTTGGAGATGGTACGTGGCCCTGTGGGCAGGCGGGATGGAGTGGGTGGGGCGGGGCAGTTTTTGGGCACTCGGTATCTAAAAGGTTCATCATCACTCTCCTAGTGTTTTAGCTTGGTCAATGGTAATGAATGCTAGGAAATGTAGTTCAATGTAGTACAAGTTCTTTGATCTACTTTCTGTAATTAGTAATATCCACTTCATTTTCACTCAGATAAAGATTAGGATGAATCATCTTGTTTGATAGGATAAACAGTCAGTGGATTTGGAATTTCTCATACTGAACTGCTTTCTAACTTCTGCCATGCTGATGTATTTTATTCTTTAAAAACACAGGTACAACATAGCCATATTAATTTAAGATAAACACATTAAATATTAGGTTAGGATAAGATACAGAAATGAAAAAACAATACTCAAACCATATATTGAATATCCTGCTGTAGAGTTAGTAGCTTCTATATGTTTCCCTTGAAGATCTTTCTTGTCCAATTCCAAACATTCTTGCTTGGGATCCAATTCTGATCCAATTACCAAAATATCACAAAAATCCAGATTGTGATCTATTTTTTCTAACAGAACTGGTTTATGGGCTGTAAATAACAATAAAAATGTCAAATAATATATTAAAAAAATAAAATGTTGCTTTTCAAAATTTAATTTATTTACAGGGCTTACAGGGCATTATACTCAGCTGATCCTAAGTACTGTATAATTCCCAAATAATAGTCCATGACTGAAAAGAACAAAAAACAATAAATTATGCAAAATTGCCTTTGAAAAGTGCAGGATTGAATTGTTAGCTTGGAAAGAGATATTAAAAAATAAAGATTCCTTTCCTTGGGTAAAGCTTGATTCTTGGTGACAGCATCCAAATGATTTTCTTGGCAATATTATAGAAGTCTTGTACCATTGCCTTTTTCAAAGTATTTTGTTTGACTTCCCATATTTGTCAATTCCCTGGAAATCTCAGGACTCCCATCCAAGTACTAACTGGAGCATACCCTGCCTGTTTAATTTTGCAGATGAATCAAGATTGACTAGTACTGTCCCATTCTGAGACAAAACATAATTACATATCGATAATTATGCTGATTTTAGTGAATGTGTATTAATATTAACTCAATAGTCATAAATCCTTCTATAAATGCATTTAGATAAACAGAGATACACATCCACATCCACACAGAAATGGAAATAACTACAACATCAATCGCTACTACCAACAAAGAGGCAGTAGTTGTATAATATTTTTTTTTAAAAAAATCCTACATACCTTATAGCAATTAAAATAAGCTAAATATATAAATGAACTTGTCAAGCCCTGGGCTTGACACGAACAGGAGATCTTGGACTCCCGAGCCCGCCACGGATGGGTCCAATATCTGGTCCAGTGGAAGGGGTACCCCCTCTCAAAGGCATCATGGGTGAGGAGGGAGGACTTCCATGCTCCACGACTAGTATGGGCATTCCATCGCCAACACCCTGGGAGGCCAGGGAACAGGTCTGCAGAAGGGTCTGGCAGGGTTGTCATATACTCACCCACGTCTTTTTGCTTTTCAGGTGAGGCCCTGGTAGTGGGGGGCGCCTGTCAAGCCCTGGGCTTGAAATGAACCAGTGGGGGAAGGAATGGAGCAGCCAGCAGCCAGCTGACAGCTAACCCCCGTGTCCCGCCCGACATCGTGGCCACCCAGCCTGGCGTCGGAGAGGCCACCCAACACCGCGGCCACCCAGCAGGGCAATGGAAAGGCCACCCAATGTCGCGGCTGCCCAGGTGGGTGTCGTAGAGGCCGCCCAACACCGTGGCTGCCTCCCACTCATTACTGGGCACTGGGGGGTTCCAAACGCCAGCTGGGCATCAGAGACAAGCTGGCTGGGCTCTTGGAGAGGCTGCCTCTCACCACGGCCACCTCTCCCATGTTGCCAGCCACCGGGGAGGAGGCCGGCTATGGCGCCTACCTGCTGGGCCTGGGGAACATCACCTGACACCGTCGGATGCACTGCCGGAAGCCAGGGAGGATGCCGGCTGCAGCGCAAAGCTACCGATCCCCAGAGGGACTGCCTGACGCCTTCACATGCTGCGAAGCCACACCGGTAGCAGGAGGAAGAAGTTGGATGGTGACTGGTGGCCGGAGGCCAGGTGGCTGCGCTGATGCAGCCAGAGGGGGGTCGGAAATTGAGCTGCGGCTTTTACCTGCATGGACTGGATGCTGGCTTACTGATTGGGGTGGGGTTGAAGGGCGGGGCACATCTATGTAAGGCACTGGGAGCAAGCCACTCCCAGTGCTGATTTTCATTTTGCATGCATTAAAATCTTGTTCCTGTGTTCCTGGCATTTGTTTTCAAATGACAAAACTAAATATCTAAATAACTAAACAAATGGAGAAAAAGAACTAATAAAATATCCACAAAATATTTTACTACTTCCATCCTTTAGCTTGTCATTAAATATATATAATGAATAAACATATTGGTTCTTTTTGTCATTTTTAGAAAATTAAGACTTTTCAAAAATGGATGACTCATATCTTTAATTCTTTTCTTAATATCAAGAGGATATGTTTCTATCCATAAATGTCAGCTTATTCCATTTGCCAAATTCCAGGTAGCAACAGAAATCTTCATAAATGAATAAATTTAGGAATATAATTTAGTACCATATTTATATTTCTTATTATTATTAACCCAAGAAGTTTGGTATCACTCATAACTTGCATGAACACAATGGCATCACTAAGAACGGTTTATATTTTCTGATCAACTTTGCATCTAATAAAGAAAAAAAAACTAATTTTATCCTTAATGGAAGAACAAGGAAGAAAGAAGAAAGAAGGAGATGATGAAGATGAAGATGGAGGAGGAGGAGGAGTTGCTGTGGCAACATATGTATTTCTAGAATTATTAAATTCACAGTTTTATTTATAGATTATTGAAAAGCCTTTTCCCAAATAGATAGATAACTTTTATTGTCATTTTTTACTGTGGGCACAATGGCACACATTAAAAATGAAATTTAGTTTCTTGCTCTCAAAGTGTACATATACACAACACACATTTAAACATACTATATACAATATATGTATAGACCTACACCCTTACATATAAGTAATATATAAATATTAATCATTGTCCACCTTGAATACATAATGGAAGGAGGAAGCTTTAGAGTTCACAAGGTTAATAGTGTATGGAACGAAACTGTGAATGAATTTGGATGTTCTGTTTTGGATACCATGAAACCTCATCCCAGAAGGTAACAAAGAAAATAGGTTGTGAAGAGAATGTGTAGTGTCCCAGACAATCTTGTGGACCCTGTTCAAACAACGCTTATATGCTATGTCCTGGATGGAAGGGAGGGAACTGCCAATAATCTTTTCAGCCATCCTCACCACTTTCTGTACCACCTTCCTGTCTGAAGCAGTGATGCTCTCGATCGTCCCTCTGTAGAAAGTGGTCAGGACAGGGGAAGGAAGATGTGCTTTTCTCATGTGACACAGAAAATGCAGGCGCCACTGTGTCCGCTTCTCCAGTGTCTCCAGTGCCAGCCTGCTTGTTAACTGCACACCCAGGAATTTGATGCTGGAAATCATCTCCAAAGGTGAATCATTAATGCACAGAGGAGTGTGGCTGTGCCTGCCTTTTCTGAAATTGACAATGATCTCTTTGGTTTTTCCAAAACCAAAGTTTTGGTTTAAAACTAGGCTGTTTTCCTTACACCAGTTCAATAAAATCTCAACCTCTTTGCAGTAAGCACCCTCATTGTCATCTTGAATAAGGCCCACTACTGTTGTATCATCCACAAACTTCACAATGTGGTTGGTGGCAAACCATATATAAACCATATATAAACAAATAGTTTATATACATAAACAAATAGTTTATATACTCTGGGCCTATTTAAAAGTTTACAATGAACTGAATGCTATGCCTGCATGTCCACTGTAAATCTATTATGTTATGTTAATAACATAACACAGAGAAGCTCAGCACTATTATTAAATGACATGTTTATTTGTAATACAAAGCAGAAGGCTGTGGACAAGTGGGTACAATATTGGTATCATGAATTATTCGTACTAGCACTACAAGGAACACCGTTTAGGCAACTAAGAACAAAAAGTTTAGAAAAACAAAACTGTGTGTTATTAAAGATTTCCTATTCCTCAAGGTTTTAAAATAATAATGTTGGAAATAACCAATAATCCAAAGATTTTCCAACACTAATTCACCAACTGGTCATAAAATGTATTTATGAAAAAATAACTTTTTGTACATCATTCTAAATCAAAATGCAATTTTGTTGAGCATGGCTGAGATGTGTGAATCCAACTAAAATGTCTTATGCGTGCCATCAGTTAAATGAATTATCTTTTATGATGAAGGCGAAGGCTATCCATTTCTGTCACTTTGGACAAATGACATCTCTTTCTCTCTCTGTTAATATGCAATAGATCAAGGTTAAATTGATCACTTTATTTATTTGCCTATCCTCTTGTTGCATACAAAGAAAATATTTAGGTTTTATCATTTCTCCATCAATAATAATTAGGCCATAATGTTTACAATAAATAAAATTATTGGGGGTATAGGACTGGCACTAACTATTGCTTCTAGACCTAATATACTCTGAGAAATCAGTTCACTTAAGCCTTCTTTCACTAGTCTGATGTACCAAAGAGCTTACTGACATTCTTTAGCTCCCTTTTCTGTTTTCTACCTGTCCTGAGCCACCTATTTAATTAAAACAAATTAACACAACTGGAGGAAATGCAGCTGTTCAGCAGACATAACTATGCAATATACAGTTAATTAGTTAATTCTAAAATTTCTATTTCTAACAGATAACTACTTAATTTTACTTTGCTCTATAGCTCTTTGCTATTTGAAGAGCTCCTCTTGAAAGTGATTCAGAGACTGCTGTGCTTAGTTAGCTCATTATGGTATTCTTACGGTGCATATATAGCAACTTTATTATTGGTGATAATAAACAGTGCAGGATAAGTTCATTTAAGAAACTGCTAACTTCCTTATAGACTTTTCCAATTTTTATAGTTTGATGTGGCTATTAGCTTTTAATTAGTTGTGAGTTTCAATATTTATATTTTTACTGCCCATTTTTTAATATTTATCATAACCAATCACTATTTTTTAAATGGAAATTAATATGTAATATTATAAATAAATTAAACAACCAAGGGTGATCTTCTCAAGTTGTTATTACCCATGGTATGAAGGTACAGGAAACTTTAATCATAGCATTTTAATTATAGTATTTATAAATGTTGCACAAGACAACATTGTCAAAGCTATCTCCTTAACCCTCCAAAGTTTACAAAAGACAAAGCAAAAAGGAATAGCTGTTCTTTTTTTAAAAAAAGTTGTTTTTTCTCTCCCTAAATCAGTGCTTACCTGATGTACATTTTGTTGGCTGGAGTATACCAAGCAGGGGAAGGCTGAAATAAAATAAGCTACTGCTTCTCCGATGTATTATGCACTTTACTGAAGGACAATAATATTTAAGAGGCATAGAACATATTACCTTGCCTGAAACAATCTTCTTTCAAGGTTACAACCATCTTAGCAAAGCCTGTTACTATGTTATTCATTTATATTTGATATTAAGTTCTACTTAAGTCACGGAAATCATAAACTTAAAAAAAAAAGTAACCAACAAACCTCTAGTCACTGTTTCCTTCAGGTCAGAGGGATGTTCCATTTTAGAAAGCGTGCTGACAATTCTGACATCCTGTAAAAGAATGACCCCTCTTTCATGTTCAAATTGTGTGGCAGGCCTTGCAAAGTGATCCATTCCAGTTATTGTAATCTTGGGCTCCTTGGCTTGTAACACCATTACATAGGCATCTATATCTGGAATACTAATGCAGGTATCTTCACCAAAACATCTGAAAAATATACCATTTAACTTCATGGAAGATTAAGAATTCATTCTTTTTTCTTAAGAAACACACAGTTGAAAAAGAATATTTATCCACACTTAGTCTTTAATGCCTACTCATTGACCAACTTCGGAATTACTTAGTCCCATGTGAGCATATTTCTCAAATTATTTATGAACAGTGGAGCATGCTATTGACAGGTATGATCTTTACAAAGGTCACTGCACCCATCCAACTTAGACTTATAAATAACACAACAAACAGTCAATGGTTAAATCTGATTATTATTTTTAATTACATACCCAAACTGATACTTAACAGGCTTGATAAAGCTATCTTGTTAAATGTGCATTGAGAACCTAATTTTATACTGAATGCATCAGAAGGCCATTTTCCACACATTTGAGAACTTCATCTGAAGTCTGTGGGAAGGCACAAATAGTAGAAATCATAGTAATTGTAACAATTAAGCTGCTGGAAAATTTATTAGAAGATTAATGTTGCTAATAAAACTCTTTCACTTGTCCTAAAATTAAAGTTCTCAACATGGGTTGCTTCTATTATCAAGCTTAGTGAATTTAACTTACTGGACTTTGGATGACACTTTAAGGCGACGAATACCTGAAGTTGGAAACTGTCTTGAGTTGATATAGGAGACTTTTTGGAGAGCTTGATTTATATTCTCAATGTCATCTCCTTCTATAACAAGGACTGACTGGGAAGGATTGAAGTGATACTGCAGAGGTGGTGAAAGGATATAATTAGTTTTTTAAGAAAATGATATGAAGCAACTCATTGTAACACCTAAAATAAGAAGCTTCTGAAGCCTGTTTCTTAGGTAAGATCATATCTTTAACAAAAGAAAGAAAATATATCATTTTATTAGCTAACACTTATTTCATCCATAAAAACCTCTGAAGAATAAGCATTCACAATCAGTCTCTACCACAAAGTTAGTAATTATTGTGCCTATAGTTAACTTCAATTAAAAGCCAAAACAAATACTTTCAATCAAAATAAATTTTTCTACAATTCAGATTTAACCAGGACAATCTGCCATTTCTATACATTTGTGTATACTTAGAAACAATTGTTAACACAAATGTTCTTGAAAGCTAGATACAAACTTGCATCAAGGCATGTCACTGTCAGGCCAACTCAAAAACACTGCATGAGACTTGCCCCTGACAGCTTGTTTCGTTTTTGCCACCTGCGGTCCAACTAGGCTCTGAAAATGACTGAAAAGGTGAAAATGAATGAAGAAACTTGCACCATGCCAGCTTCTAGATCAGAGACTAAAAATGTTTTGAAACTGAAACATTAAACTTTTGGATTCTTTTTCCCAATACACAGTTCGATCACAGAGACAACTGCTTGTCAATACCAGATAGCTGCTGGAGGCAAAATGAAAAAAAAAAAGCCATTTTGAAATCTCTAGCAGATTTCAAATAAAATCAGCCTCAAACAGGACAAACAAAGAGGTTGGGGCAAGTGGTGAACATGGATTAGATGCTGGGATGAAAGTAGTAAGGGTGGATGTCGAAGTGTAACATCCCCAAGCATGATTATTTTTTTTAAACACTTGTTCAGACTGCTTATAAAAATCTCTGCAGCAGCTAGAATTGAAGAACTGCACGTGCTTCAGGAGGCCAAAAATATTACTAATACATAACAAACACACCATCTTCACTCTTTTGTTACAGTAATATAATTTCATCAAGCAAGAAGAAACTTTCCAAAGAATGATTTCTGGGTTCGACTGGTAGCTATACAAGATTTAGGGCAATTTCCTTCAGCAACTCTTGAAGGCAAAAACAATGTTTGGTGTAATCTTCAACTAATTCTAGTTCAGAAGCATCAATTCCAAACTGTTTTGAAAATGATGCTTCTGGTTGCCAACTCATTCTGAGAATAATGTATTCTCAATTGATCAATATGACATTGCCATACTAGACCATCTGAACATTGAACTTGTATGCTACTAGTGCTTTGATATCAATGACAGTTGAGCAATCCAACTGCTTCTCGCTCCATAGAACCTTTCCAAAGACCTTTTCATTTAACAAACAGTAAATGAATACAGAATAGGAATAAAGCAGTTTTCCAGTTCTTGCTTATTTTGTAAATATTGCAAAGGATGAAAAGTCAAGGCTAGTTTATATTCATTGCCCCATATATAATTCACCAGAACTGATTCATGTTTTGAACAAGGAATAGTATGTTATACAGGAAGGAGCTGACCCAGTATCTTCCAACAATTTGCTTCAGTTAATCCAAGATTATCTGTACCATCTCCTCACCCTAGCCATTTGGTTGAAGATTATTTCAGTGGGCTAAGGAGACTGTGAAAGCTTGAAAAGGGGTACTGTTAATAAAATGCTTAAACTTCTTTGATAAACGCACATATGTTATCTAAGATGTTAATATCAAGCAATCTATGGTTTCCAAATAAGTGGAGCAATGCTGTTATTGTTGCACACTGCTTTGAATAAAAGTATACCATCATTAGTTCTTTTTCTGAAATAGTCTCACAAAATCAATAGAAAGTTGTCCTGAAGTGTTTTGATTACTTCCAAGGGGAATACCATTTTTTTCACTTCCCAGATCAGTCCCTAGCCAATAAACGTAACTTCTTGCCAAAACATCCTAATGTTTCAGAATGTATAACAGTTTGATGACCTCTTACACTACAGTAACACAATTTCCCTGCTAGAAAAAAACTTTATGGTGAGATGTCTCAAGTTGATGGTTTTGAATGGTTTAAATGCCAGTAGCCTGTGAACTGACCAACCTTTATACAGCCAATTTAACACATGAGTTACTTTGGGGTCTCAAGCAGGCAATCTTGTAATTTGATCAGCCTGAAATAGTGGGTGTGGGAAGGCCTTCAGCATTAAGACTGCAGTGTGGCAGTTTAAAATCTGGTATTTTATATGCCATGTGAGTCAGAATATTACCTCTGGCTATTGTTATTCCTGGCAACAGATAAGTGAGTTATCATTGGCATTAATCAAGAAACTGCAATGTTGCATACAAATATTAAGAGTATTTATAGGCTTTATATTAGAAAAGTTTCTCAAAGGAGATTTGAAATCAGTATAAATTTCAAAAGTATGGCCACAGAGAGAGCTGTGGAACTTTTTGACTCCTGGAATAAAACTGGGGCCTCTTTTTCCATTTGAACATAGTTCCTTTCAGAAGAAGACAAAGTCCTAGAATAATATCAAACTGGCACTCTGTGTTGTTTGGCATTGTGACGAAACATAGTTCCAATATTGTAAGGAAAAGTGTATGTAAGCAGCAGCTATTTTTTTTCATAATGAAGCAAATAAGTTTTTTTTTTTAAATTTCTAGAAAGCATACACATGCTGTTAAGATCAAAATCAAGTGAAGTGTTAATACCAATTTACAATGCCTTGGTAAGGCCACACTTGGAATACTGCATCTAGTTTTGGTCACCGCAATGTAAAAAAGATGTTGAGACTCTAGAAAGAGTATGGAGAAGAGCAACAAAGATGATTAGGGGACTGGAGGCTAAAACATATAAGGAACGTTGCTGGAATTGGGTATGTCTAGTTTAACGAAGAGAAGGACGAGGGGGGACATGATAGCAGTATTCCAATATCTCAGGGGCTGCCATAAAGAAGAGGGAGTCAAACTATTCTCCAAAGCACCTGAAGGCAAGACAAGCAACGGATGGAAACTAACCAATGAGAGAAGCAACCTAGAACTAGGGAGAAATTTCCTGACAGTTAGAACAATTAATCAGTGGAACAACCTGCCTCCAGAAGCTGTGAATGCTCCAGCACTGAAAGTTTTTAAGAAGAGACTGGACAGCCACTTGTCTGAAATGGTATAGGGTTTCCTGCCTGAGCACGGGATTGGACTAGATTGGACTCCAAGGTCCCTCCCATCATCATCATCAATCATCATCATCATCATCATCATCATCATCATCATCATCATCATCATCGCACAGTCAGCCAGATGTTCAGACTGGATTTGGCATTTTGTCTACCTATCGAGTCTTTACCCAGAACCTGGGATAGGCAGATGTGGATGTTTGATGGTATTACAGATATCGTCGCAGGATGGAAGCAGTTCCCAGTAAGGCCGCCTTTTGCAATTGACTAATGGCAAATTTGTCAATGCCAATGGTGTTCAAGTGGTGCTCCAGTTGTTTTGGGATTGCACCCAAGGCACCTATTACTATTGGTACTACCCTTGCTTGCTTTTGCCACAGTCTTTCTATTTCTATTTGTAGGTCTTTGTATTTTGTTATCTTCTCCTGGTCCACTTTCTTATTAAAAATTAAATATGCATGTCAACCATACATTAAATCCCACCCTTCAAGAACAAGAATATCCTTATTTGTTAAATTAAGCCAATCACTTATCCAAGTTAAGGCAGCTGCATCATAGTATAATTTCAAGTTAGATGCTTTAAGTCCTCCTCTTTCTCGGGCATCTTGCAAAATCTTAAACTTAACCCTTGGTTTTTTCCCAGCCCAAATGAATTTATTGATACCCTTCTGCCATTCCTCCAAATTTACATCTTTTTTTAAAATAGGTATCATCTGAAACAAGAAAAGAAACTTTGGTAGAACATTCATTTTTACAGCTGAAATTCTCCCCAACAGTGACAATTGCAGTTTTTTCCAGTCATTTAAATCCTTTTGCACTTTTGCCCATAGTAATTCATAATTATTTTTATACAATTTTCCATTTGAGGCAGTTAAATATACTCCCAGATATTTAACCTTTTTCACCATCTGAAAACCTGTGGCTTTAACCAAACTTTCCTTGTCATTGGCTAACATATTCTTAGATAATATCTTAGTCTTATGGTTATTGACTTTAAAACCAGAAACTTTTCCATACTGTGTTATAAGTTCTAATAGACAATCAACCGCTCTAATCGGTTGTTCCAAAATCAAAACCAAATCATCCTCAAAAGCTCGTAATTTATACTCATTTTTTCTTATCTTTATGCCCTTGATTACCGTTGATTCTCGAATCTGGATCAACAAAATCTCCAATGTTAAAACCTGAGCAGCTCTTCTCTTCCCTTTCTCCCAGGGAGGAGATTCAAGCCGTGGGACAGCTGATTGTCAAAGTCCCGCAGCTTTTACACAACCCAGGAACGGGCTGCTTTGTGAAAAGCAGCCATCGTAGCTGCTTGATCCACCGGAAGCCCTTTAACTAAACATCTTTGACTGGATAAATATACAAAGCAACAATATGGAAGCTATGGAATGCCCTGTAATACTGAAAGTTCTGACTTCACATTCTCTTTTTAATTGAAGTTACAATTTGTCAAATTGCTACACAATTTCCTGAAGTATACTAGCAAGTTATTCAACTTTTGATTTCATAATTAGGATTTAATCAAAGCACAGCATTACATCCAAGATTCCCAAAAGCAGAATCTCTGAAATGATGGAATATCCCAGACAGTACGGAAATTCTGGAAAGGGCAGATTCCAAACTTGAATTGTAGAGCAGATAATTTCCTATGTTGGCTAATGGCAGTTAGTCATCTGCTACAGTATCAGCAACAGCTAGTTGTACATTTTTAGTCTCTATTCATGCCTTCTCCAATTTTTATTGACTGCTCCCTATCCCCATTCCAAGAACAGCTGGCAGTACACTGCAAGCAATATTAATGTTGTATAAATGCCTTATTTACAGTGTATTCATAATCTGTATGAAGTCTATTTTTTATATTACATTTAATACTGGCCTGGAGCATTTATGGGGATGACAGTGAAATCAAAGACCTACCCCTTTTATGCATGTATTAATGTCATGCATTTACCAAGGAGTATGCTTTTAATCAGGCAGCTGTAACTATCATGTTGGCTTTTTGTAACAGAATGTTTGAATGAACCTGGGGGAATGAAGGGAAGAGATGCAGTGGTAGGATTCAAATACGTGAACAACTGGTTCTCTGTGTGGATGCCACTTCAGGACATCCATTCTGGGCCTGGGCAACCAAAAAATAGCTACCATACTGGTTTTGCTGAACTGGCTGAATCCCACCACTGAAGAGATGTTACCTAGGAAACAATCGGACAAGAGATGGAGCTCAATGATCAGATAAAAAAGCTTAGGATGGAGCCACCATGACTAATTAGGAGGTTAAAATTGGAGGTGGGAAGTTTGTATCTTCAGACTTGTAAGATTCTGTTAATGCAGAATTACAATAAAGTAGGATTAGCTCATCTAGTCATGTTTCCTGACTGGTTTACTTGGAAGTAATATTTTTTATGTTTTTTGAATAGACACAATTATTATTCAATATTTCATTGCATTCTCTTTGTTATTTATATCATACAGCCTTTCATTAATTAGGTATTATGCAACCTAATGGGTGAGTACATTGATATGAATTGACAAACGCTCAAATGCACAGGAGTTATTTACAAAATGTCACAAACTGAATTTAAAGTCAGAAAAAATTATAATGTAATACAATGCAATACATTTTTGTAGAACTTATTTTCAAACTTTTCAGAATTTGAGAGTGTTGATTTGCTGTAGCTAACACAGTGAAGAGGTTTCTGGAACCTTTAATGACAAACAAAATGAATATTCTGTTTTCAATATGAGTATTCTAATTTGTTTTTTAAAAGAATAAAAATTATGGAAAGTATAGGACTCAGTGATTCTGATAGATTGAATGTATCTGTAAAATGTTTGTGCCACTATTTTTTCAATGCTTATCTACTGTGGTTTACCCCCATTGGTGGGGCTGTCATAAGGTTCGTATGCATAATGTGTTGCAGTTTGTGAAATCTGCACTAGCAGCTTGATTTTTTAAAAAGTTCAGATGAATTGTTCTTAGAATAAAAAATAAAAAAGTAATTTGTGTCTGTTAGTGCTCAAGTCCTCAAAGGTGCAATCTGTGCTAGAACCTTTTTGATCATACTAATATGTTATGGCCTCTGCAAACAATAACAAAACTGGATCTATCTGCTGCAGACAATTCTAATTATGAAATTTTAATCTCATACTTTCACAACTTGCAGAGGTTTTGGGGGTTGTGTGTGAAGACTTTTACAAGTTTTACATCCCTATTAATATGGATGTGTTTGTGTGTTGCATTTCATGGGAAACTAACTTGCTTCTACACAGAATCATTTCACTGACAGAATGAAATGGAAATCCTGAATGGTTGTGAAACACTTATACCATCTGATTTCTATAGGTCTACACTAGAAAGAACACAGTTGGTGTCCCAATGTTCCACTTCTACTTTGTCTTTGTGTGACTTTATGGCAAATTAGATTGCTTCTTGGAGTGCTTTTGCGTTCTATCTTGTGCTCTACATCTCATAAATCAGTTTTAAATGTTAGTAAAGATTATATCAGTTCACACCTTACCTTTATTCCTTGGCCAAGACTCTCCAGGGAATTAATATCCAAACCTTCCTTGCAAGCCTGCAAGCAGGAAATCACTTTCTGACTCTTAATTTTGCCTGGTCGTATGGTAAGACTGGCAAGACTGCCATGGAAATACTGAGCAAATCTGGGCTTTGTGACTTCTCCTCCTATTGAAAATGAACCACAAATTGTCATGTCATTCATACATGCAAATTTATTTAGGAATATCAATATTCTCAGCACTGTCATATACTGTATGTTTTAAACAATTTACGTTAACTGGGCTGCTATTCTTATCAACAAAGATGTAAGAAAAAAATGGCTTACACACTATTATTTTGGAGTAAATAATTCTAATTACAATTCTATCATCATAATTGCACATATTTTAGGTGTGAAAATATATCCTAGCCTGAAATATAGCATTAAAAATTCATTTTTGTAACATATGATGGAAAAACTGTTCAGTGTAGAAACAGAATAAATTCAGCATCTCATTATGTTAAATATATAGAGAGATTCATGTTCAATATAGTAAAACAAAAAGCTGAAAATAGCATGCCAGATTTAAAAATAACATATCAGCCAAATCTAAACCAGGAATAGTAATCTCTCTGAAAGCAGAAATAGTTATGCTAAATTAACAAAATGTCCACCTATAAAATTTGCTTAGCTACAACACTAATTTACATAATACTTCTATGCTTCTCTGTAATATTCTTGAAATATAGATAAGGAAAAAATAAATAACCAGTTTCAATAATATTGGTGTGAAAAAAGTATACATTTACAGGAACAGATTGGAAAGATTTTTATGAATGTGCATGATTTCCACTCTCTTTTAACCTTCTGGGAAAGTGAATTCTTATAGAGATTTTCAAAGGATCAAGATAACGATCAAAGACCAATGAGCAGAGCAGTGATGGTGCAGTGGTTAAAATGCAATATTGTGGGCTGACTTTGCCTATTGCCAGGAGTTTGATCCTGACTTGCTCAAGGTTGACTCAGCCTTCCATCCTTCCAAGATCAGTAAAATGAGAACCCATATTGTTGGGGGCAATGTGCTGGCATTGTAAACTGCTCAGAGAGTGCTGTAAGGCACTATGAAGTGATATATATGTCTAATGCTAAGCACTATTGCTAAGTGTATGCGGGAGGAAAGATATAGCGGATATTTATGAAAGATAATAGTGGCAAAAAGTATTAATCTAAAATATGTTAAAATCAGTCACTTAGTAGTAATTCTATGAGCTATAATTACATCTATGGTACAGTTCTGCTCCATACTGAAATATTCCAGCAAAATAAATTCTGAAATTTATCAGAAGTTTCCAGAAATTATATACTGAATTTTGTGGATTTTTAAACATTAAAATACTGTGACATGTATTATGTATATATAAATATTAACAGTGAAATAGTTTTGCTTTGGAGAAAGAGATCAAGTTCCAAAGAAACAGAATTCAGAATATCATGGCATCAGTTATTATAATTGACAACATTTGCTTAAGATGATATTGGTTTATACAGCAAGAAAAATGAATGAGCAACAGATATTTTTCTGGATCTTGTTTCACAAATTGATGTAAATATGAGTATTTTTATATTAAAATGTTTCACCGTTATAAATAACTATTAGGAATAAACAGGTTAGCATCATTTGTATGAAAACATTCCAAATCTTTCCTGGGAAAGAAAGCAAGCAAAGTCTACAGCACTGATAAATGAATGGGAATCCTTATGGTTCAAGATATCATTCAGCTGAACAATCATATCTTTCAGTGCCAAACATCAGCCAGACAACAAAATTAAATAAAAGAGACAGTTCAGGTGAAACGTATTCATACATCCAGGGAAAAAAAAGAAAAAAAAGACTGAAACCACCTGCATCATAAAATTAATGATAAATCTTACTGCCACTGTAACCATCTGAGCCCAGCCAAATGTAGCCAAGCTTCAGAAGCATTTAGTTACTTACTTGTAACAATCAATAATACAATTATGTTTGCAAACTTGAAATGGCTTTTCTGTATCTAAATATGCCATGATAAAATTAACTATTTAAGTAGTTATGACAAACATTTACTCTTGTCAGTGGAGAGTCAAACACTGATACAGATACTGTAGATATCTTCATCTTAGATACACATCTCTAAGCTTCCCTCACACTTTAGTAGAATCAAAAATTTAAAAGGGATTATTTTGGCTTTCAATATCAGTCCATTGTTCAGTACATGGTATCCCATTTAAAATCTTCCTAATAGCTACTGGTTTAACTTCTTGTTTTAACACATCCAGTAAAAAGAAGCTCAGTATTTCGCTCAATAATTAATTCAGCTATTATGAAGCTGATTTTACTATCATTGTTAAAATTCATCTGATTAACTGTAACTTAATGCCATTGTCTTTTGTTATAATTTGGAAAGACAGTTGTTTAGCTTCCAGGTATGAATTGATCTCATTGTTTAAAAAAGAGGAAAATGTAAAGAAAATAAGGAGTATCTTGGGGGTAGATGCCAAGAAAGACAGGCAGAGAATTTAGATACTCCATGGATAGATTGTAACTCCATGGATAAATTCTGCACCTATGTTTTAATTAAATAATTAATGCTACTACATGCAGTTCTTAGGATGGACATTGAAAACCTTATGATTTTCACCTTTAACTCATGGGATACAAGGCAAATTGAATTCTAGCTAATTTTCTTTGCAGACCTTGATACAGAAAGATTACTTATAACTTTAAAAAAGGAACCAGTTAAATCTTGGCTTTATGGAAGATGTTTTCTTTTTATAGATAAATAATACTGCCATGTAATGATATATTTTAAAAGAAAAAAGACACATTACTAAAGTATTATTGAGGTAACTGTTTAGATGTTCAAAAAAGAACTGCAAAAAGTAAAAATAGGACAAATTATTATTTTTATTCACCAGCACTATTTTTATTCATCACTTTGAAACTTTTATTCCAATAGCATACTTGAGAGAATTTCCTAAAAAAAAAATACAAGTTTAATTGCATGCTAATAAACTGAATAATAGGAAAAATTGTGCAGATAAATGATATACATGGGGGAAAGACTACATAGAAAAATCCATGTATTTCTGGAAAAATTAATAATCTATATAAAATATATAAAGTATCACGTATTGGTTTCCTGGCACTATTTTTTTAAATCATTCTGTTTGATATTTAATAGAATGAAATAATGCACAAGTAGCTACAATATGCATATGTATCTAATTTAGACTGATTAAGTACATCCAGACTTATGGGACTGTGAACTATAATCTAACGTTATATTTTATATTTTATATTTTATATATATATATATATATATATATATATATATATATATATATATATATATTTAGCATATTTGATCTGTTCTCTTATTCATGCATTAGCCAATAATAACCATGGGGCAATTGAGAATGCTCATGCCATGTCTGTCTTCCCTGTGCAGGTGGCTAAAATGACTGCTGAGTTTTTCAAACAAGTTACTCTGAATATAGTCACAATCACTGATTGATTTAGCTTCATTAACTATAGCCAACCACAATTAAATATATTTTATATTACTATATCAATAAGGAGAATTTGGAGAAAAAGAGGGCATAGAAAGATTTTTTTTTCCTGTTTTATATCAGCAATAGGGATTACTTGTATGTTATGTGTTGAAAAAAATCATTGCAAATTATTTTTATTATCATAGCATTTTTCTACCCCTTTGGCCTTCAATCTCAATAAAAGTGATACAATCCATCATTAAAAGCCTAAAGAGTAATAAAGCCCCAGGTGAGGATTTTTTGCCAGCAGAATTATTTAAGAAATTCCTCGACTGGTCGGATCCAGTACTGGCAAGTCTTTTTACACCTGCCATATATCAGATGGATGGAAGATGGCAATAGTTGTCTTTATATATAAAAAAGGAAATAAAAAAGATCCTAGTAATTATAGGTCCATTAGTCTTATTGACCTTGTAGAAAAAATATATGCTAGGTTCCTTTTGTATAAAATTGAAATTATCATTATCATTATTATATCCTTGCAGAAGAACAAGCAGGTTTTAGACAAAACCGATCTATCATTGATAACTGCTTTGTTCTGAACCATCTAATTGCCAAATATGCCTATAAGAGGAGACCCCTGTTTGCTGCTTTTATAGACCTTACAGTAGCATTTGATACTGTAACCAGAGAAGTATTATGGAGTAAATTGACATCTCTTAAAATAGAACCTAGACTGCTAGCTTTGATTAAAGCCCTTTACGCAAGTACCTGTTTGAAGGTGTGGCATGGGGTTAATGGGGCCCTGACTAACAGAATTCACACAAATAAAGGGGTAAGACAAGGGGTATATCCTAGCCCCATTATTATTTAATCTATACATTAATGACCTGCCAGGGTTAATGAAGGATCCCATGGTACATATGCCAATGATCCTAAACATATACTGTAACAGCTTGCTCTAGGTCGATGATATGATCCTATTATCATATTCACAAGTAGGATTATTCAGGCTATTAAGAAGGTTTAACTCCTATTGCCAGGACATCTCCCTAACCATCAGTAAATCTAAATAAAAAATCATGGTGTTGAAAAACATCATGAGAGACATAGATAGTAATTAGATGGTGAACCAATTGAACAGGTTAACACCTTTGTATACTTAGGCATAACGTTTTCCAAGTCTGGATCTTGGGCTTGCCATCTTCAATGGAGCACACTCAGAGCAAAGGCTTGTTTGAATCTACTGCTTAAATTAAAGAATCATAGTTATCCAGGGTCCCAAGTCCCATTAATCAGAGTATATAAGGCTAAGGTTACTTCTCTGCTCTTGTATGGAGCAGAAGTTTGAGGTATATACTCAATTACAAGACTATAACAAATGCAATCCCAGCACCTGAGATCTATTTTGGGCATAGATGTAAGAACATCTACTGCAGCAGTTAGAGCTAAACTGGGAATCTATACAATTCAAGCTCTATCCAAAATTAGAACATATAATTACTGGCATAAAATTAATGAAATGGAGAGTGATAGACTCCCTATGTTATGCCTACTAGAGCAGATAAAATTACAACCACAAACTTCCTGGTTCGCTAAATTTTGTAAGAAGGTAGATTGTAGGAGTGATCGTGAAATATAATTTGATCATATT